AGATTCATTGGGGCAGCGGGTAGGACCATGATTGTTGCAAACACGTTTGGATTATTTGCACTGCTCCTGCTTTTTGCATTAGGTGGCTTTGTTCTGTCACGAGGTATAAAATGTTCATCAAATATTCAAATCAATTTTCTTCTGTTTAAATAACTATTGGTTTTCTTATGATAATATTTGGTCATTTTTACAGAGGATGTTAAAGGATGGTGGATATGGGGTTACTGGGCTTCACCTATGATGTACGCACAGAATGCAATTCTTGTAAACGAATTCACAGCACCCAGTTGGAGCCGAGTAAGCCAATGCATCAACTCAACGCTTTTTGACTTTTAAGCTAGTTTACATTCCTCTAACTTAGCAGCTGATTATTTTTTCTTGTACAAAAGCTTGTAAATGGAACTGAGACATTGGGATCTGTTGTCACAAAATCTCGAGGGTTTTTTCCCCAAGCATACTGGTATTGGATTGGAACAGGGGCTTCAGTCGGATTCGTGTTTCTATTCAACCTCTTGTTTGTTCTTTCTCTAACATATCTCAAGCGTGAGTGTCTCTACTTCCTGTGCTTGAAAGAACTTCCTAAACCTAATTACCTTTACATAGCTAATCTATTCAAAATTCTGCAGCTTTCGATAAGCCTCAAGCTACTATACTAGATGAAAGCGAAGATGATGCCTCACCTGGATCCGCATCCATGGGAACCGATGCCAATGAGCCCGATCAGAACAAGAAAAGAGGAATGATTCTTCCATTTGAGCCACATTCTATTACATTTGACGAAGTTAAATACTCCGTTGACATGCCAACTGTAAGTAAAATCTCAAGATAATCTCTTGCAAGACAAAGATTGGCATCAGATGAGGACTTAAACATAATCTTTAACTGACTTGCAGGAAATGAGAGCTCAAGGTGATGTTGACGATAAATTAGTGCTCCTGAAGGGTGTAAGTGGAGCTTTCCGGCCGGGTGTTCTAACAGCTTTGATGGGCGTAAGTGGGGCAGGTAAAACAACATTGATGGATGTGTTGGCTGGTCGAAAAACAGGTGGGTATATTGAGGGAAGTATCAAGATTTCAGGGTATCCAAAGAATCAGGAAACATTTGCTCGGATTTCTGGATACTGTGAACAGAACGACATCCATTCTCCTCATGTTACTATTCACGAATCCCTGCTTTACTCAGCTTGGTTGCGTTTGCCTAAAGAGGTTGATGCTGAAACTAGAAAGGCAAGTGACTTTTCCTTTTCATTCTCAATAATGCTTTATTATTGTACTTGTAACCATCAATGCAATAATAAAATTAATAAACTTCCTGATATATATATATATATTTCCAGAATTTCATTGAGGAGGTTATGGAACTTGTGGAACTTACTCCCTTGAGAGGATCACAAGTTGGGTTGCCAGGTGTCAATGGTCTCTCGACTGAGCAGCGCAAGAGGTTAACAATTGCAGTCGAGCTCGTAGCGAACCCTTCGATAATATTCATGGACGAACCAACTTCAGGGCTTGATGCTAGAGCTGCTGCAATTGTGATGAGAACAGTCAGGAATACAGTAAACACAGGAAGAACGGTTGTGTGTACCATCCATCAGCCCAGTATTGACATTTTTGAGGCATTTGATGAGGTAGAAATGTTGATAAATTAGGTTAGATCACAGGAATTTCGGTTCTTTTACGTTGCTTCAAATGCTAAAATAATCGCGGTTTTGCAGCTATTTTTAATGAAACGAGGAGGACAAGAGATATACGTTGGTCCTTTGGGTCATCAATCGTCTCAATTGATCAAGTACTTTGAGGTAATTTGTACGATCAAACAACAAGAAATTGTTT